GAACGAGAAATACTGTGGGAACACGAGTCGAAAGACGAGTGTTTTCGCGGCCTTTCCTATAACTCGATAGAAACACATAGAAAATATTTTTTATCTTTTTTTTAGAAACAAGCACAAAGAAAATAACGAACAACGGGACTATGACAACTTTCTATCGAGTTTTAGTGTAAGTCCACTAGCGTTCTACCACGAATGGTGTTCTCTGATTGGCGTTCTCTGATTAATGAGTAGCGTGGCAGTGTGCGCTTAGTAGCAAACTGGCGGTCGCTTCTTGGCGTTTTCGAGATTTAGAGAAAGTTTTGAACGACTAGAAGATTTACACTAAAACAATCAGATTATTTACACTCGCTTTCTACGCGTGATAGTTGACGAGGGCGCAATAGAAATCTCGAACTCATAATCTAACACCCTATTCCCTGGATGAGACGCGCGCACACTGAATCATGGTAATTGTATGCAATGTCTCGAAGATGTCGCCCGAATGATGAATACAACTACCATGATTCCCTGCGCGCAAGTCTCATAGGGGGAATGGCCTGTTGTTAAATAGAAACACGATTTTTCACCAATCAGTGTGGTATTTTCTTTGGACTAAGTATAGCTCAACAGGAAGTTGGCAAATTGTTCAAGTACGCTCAGGGCTGACAATTGTCAACATTTGTCAGTTTAGCACATCCTTATTTGTGTGGGTTCATATCGTACGTCACCGAGCTCTATTACTTAGAATCCTTCCGTAAAGATCTCCGAACGCTTATCGACATCCTTGGTTACACAAGTCGGATTGGCTGGATAGTTGTCTTCATCAATATAGTACATCTCCTTCTTAGGCTTATGGTACCACTTAGAAAACGATGATGAGATGGACTTGCGCATGACCTTAATTGTGTTCCACTGGGCATTAAAGATCACTTGGCCATGATCAATACACGAGTCCGCGAACAGTGCAATGTTTGATGAACCCTTTATTACACCCTTCATGGCTTTTAAGGTGGTTTTTCGGAATTTCTTGATCTGCTTCAATTCTTTCTTTGTACACGAATACGGATGACGAGCGCAAGGAATTTCCCAGATATTTCCAAGCTGCCAGGAGTCGTACAAAGGGTTCACGACAAACAAACTGCTCTTGACAAAGCGTAAAAAGTATTGCGGAAAGATGCATTTCCAAAGCTTTTTGCCGGACGTGTTTTTGACGCAGTGTTGCGGAACTCCATCCGTGCAGTCATGCAGCTTGAACACACTTTGCATTATCTTCCTGAATTTTCGTTGTCCTTTTTGTTTGCGTGAAGCTGTATCAAGGAAAAATCCTGAATCAGCCAAGGCGCGGAAGTGTACTTGTTTGGGAAGTTTAGAACGGACAAAGTCGGCATGAAGCATGACAGCAAGTCCTCCAGCTGACGTACCAGAGAAAATAACATGGCTGGCTTCCTTAAGATTCGTGTCAGACAACAATTCGGATATGGTGGAATCTAGAATTCTTAACCCGCGGAAATAAAGCAACGAGCCTTCAACTTGGACTGGGTCCGATCTGTTGCCTGCAAATGACGAGCCATCGCAGTAGGGCAGGTAAGCTACATTCCAGTCGTAGAATTCAGGATTCTCTTTTTTGTTGTTTGATAAAATTCCGCCAGGATTTCCCAGAGGCTTAAAAAAGAGTGACGAGCCCAAATGCATGCGACTTCTACCTAAACACGCCTCCTCGCTCTCGCACCAAGCTCCACCTTGTAAGTAAATGATCCAATTCTTGTTTCCTTTCCCGGAACCTTGTCTTAAATAGTATCCAGGAGTGGAGCCATCGAGGCAAACGGCGCCTGCTGTGTCAGCGTTTTTCACGGCATGGTACTCATAACCATTGGAAGATTGCTGGTAAAACTGCATAAGGGAATTCTCTTCTGGGTAGGGCTGCGGCTGTGCTGCCACGGCGGGGCCCGAAGAAGGTGCCGGGTAATAGATAGACGGGTATTGTACGGAGGAGTACTGGGCACTGGAGTTTGGCTGGTGGAGATGATTTCCCGCTGGAATCTGGTTTTCACCAGTATCGTCCTTGTGTGTCTCAATTTCATGGTGCTGCTGCTGCTGCTGATGATGATGATGATGATGACGGTGGCGGTGGTGTTGGTGGCGGTAGTGGCGATGATGATGCCTGTGATGATGATGACCATAGAGATGGTAACTTTTGTTCTGCGGTTGTTGTGTAGGCTTTACTTCTTGAGCCTCCAGCGTCACATTGCTGAGACTTCCATTGAAGATTCCATTCTGGGCGTGATGACTGAGTGCTCGTGTTGACTCTGCTTCTTTGGCTGTGTTATTTTCCTGATGATGATACTGTTGTTTGTGATAATCTCGATGTTTTTCAGAGTGGTGCAGTACATGCTCCTCGCTTTTGTATCCTCTAAAAATATCACTGTCTAGCTTGGAGAGGATTTCCTTCATTTTGGAGGTACGAGTCTTCTTGTGAACAGATTTTCCTGAAGACACGCTCGTGCTGCTATCACCTGAAAACTCTCGAAACATCGAAGACAAATCTCCTCCGTCATGGTCCCGGTGGGCTATTGTACTCTTACTCCCCCCTGATTCCTCTTTGTTTCCTTCAGAGACCAACAGTTTAGCTTCCTCCTCATTAAGGGCGTCATCCAAGTCCCCGTCGTCATCATCATCATCTTCCAGGTCTAGACCCAAATCGCCATCATTCTTAAAATCTTTGAGGAGCTTATCATATTCATTCTCGCTGTTTCCCTTGGTGACCTTGCTTTTCCTGTAAATCTTGCTTCTTCTTTTTGGGCTTGTTACTTTTTTATCAACAGCAGGTGCTAAAGGTTTAACTCTTCTTTCATTTTCTGTCTTGTGGGTATCTCTATCGTTTGCATCCTCTTGTTCAACGTCAGTGCTACCACTGCTATCTTGTTCTTTCATTTCATGTTCTGAGCTTTCGGTTTCTTCTCCTGAAAATTCAGCATTTTTTTCTTCTTGTTGATCGTTCTCGCCAGACGTCTCTAGATCCTTGCTTGGAGTTTTGCCAGTGGGCCTTTCACTAATACTGTTTCCGTCCGTCTCGTGAACATTCACCATGTAACTGGATGGATAACTTCCACTACCAGACATGTATTCTGCTTCACTGGGTTCTCCACTTCCACTAAGATCGTTCTCCTCTTCAGCTGAAATAACACCATTGTTCAACTCTTCGTTTCCATCAGAATCAGATGTCAGCTGTTTAACTTCTCTTTCTTGTGTTGATTCGGCGATAAAACTCTTTGCGACCTTTCGTTCCGATCCAGTCTTGTACCATAAATACTCGCCTGGTTTGCCAGACTTTGAATCATCTTGTTGAGTGTTGTGTTCGGAATTCTGAATATGTCTTGGCGACACAATAACAATCAGAGCTAAAGTGTAAAACAAAGTTATATGCAACAAGGTTATGCGTCTCATATTTTTAAATGGAAGCGCAGCGTCGCGTCTGCGCCAGTACACCGAGACACACACAGTACAACTCCAATATGATTTCGCCTTCAGGGCAACTAACTTTGAACTTTCCTGAGGTAATTTGATGTCACGCAGGTCCGGGTACCTGCGTTCCCTCTTTAGCTCTTATCTTCTTTGTTTTAGGAACAATTCACTAAAATAAAGAACCATGCAGCGCGTCTAGACTAAACTGTTATACGTGCGAAACAAAACTACTACGACCAGAGCCCCGTCTTGAGTTACAGAGTGTTTATAAATAATTTTCGATCAACAGAGCGGGTGGTTAAGTTGAGTAAAACAACACAACACCTGTTGACTGCCAAGTGATCTGTGTACATAAGAAAAACGGTTTTTATGCTCCAGTAACTGTTGTGATTTCCAATCCGAAGATGCTCAAACAACAGTTGACCTGTGTACAACACTAAGTTTCCCTGTTCATAGTTAGCGTCTCCTCCTGATTGCGAGAGTTCTGTTTTTAAAATCAGTGTCAGATGTTTTGAAAGCAGGTCATTTGTTTGAAGAAACAACATATTAGCTATGTGGTAAATCGGGTGAGTGATTCTGGGTTATTGTTTGGAGATCTGTTTACTGCAAAATGAATTCTTCTTCACTCTCCCATCTTTCATCTGCTATTCAAACAAGAAATAACACAGGTCTCCATAGCGAACCAAGACAAACCTTGTTGTGCACCATTGTAAATAACTCTATTTAACAGAAAAATATCCACAAGTTTCCCTACACTTTTGGCGAGAATCAGAAATACCGCAACTAATTTTGTCTACAAACCGTTTCTGCGCCGGTGACTAACTGAGAAACCTATCAGCCTCCCGCCAAGAGAAAAGAAAGCTCTTAATTAGTCTGTAGAGTTTGTTCTGCACGCAGGGACGCGAATACAATCCATGTAATAATTCCGAAAGCAGACTCGTTTATCTGGATACTGTTCTTGAGAACGTTTCACACAGACTATCTGACACTATATGTCTACCATTGTTTCATTGTACAGTTTCTCATCCTATCCTGTGAGTAAAGTCACAATACTTTTCTTCCTTTGTAAGAACTGCCGAGTTTCTTGTAGACGCCCCATTGGTCAAGGGTGGTGACCAATCAAGTTCTTGTTAGCAAACAAGGATTGATTGAACTCGAGATTGTTCAGAATGTCAGCGGCAGCTGGAACTATTCCTCATGAACGCTTTGTCAGATTACACATCGTTATGATCAGCAGGTGATGTAACCAGGCCTTTAAGCAGGTGCTCATCAAAAGCTTATGCCGCAACTGAACTGGTCTGCGGTATTCACAACACAAGTCCGAGTTACAGGCATTACACGTTGAAGGATGTTTGGATCACAGAATTAAACTCTTCACCATATAAGGGCCTTCCAGTTCATAACCAATTTTACGATAATAATTCCTGGTTCCAACACCTGTGTGAGAGAGATTACAGTTTCTCTAGTTAGTCAAGCTCTTAATAGCCTATTTTTCTGTCCCTATGGTCGTCAAAATAATGAGTTCAATCGAATTTAACGCCTTAAGTCAGAATTAAAGCCTAGAGTTAGAGTTTGTGCAACCAAACCCTGTTTTCTGTCAAAACATCTTAACAAAATCTACCCTATTCCTTCACTAAAGAGATATTTTTTGTCCTTTCTGAGCCAAAAGTCTTAGCTGGGCGCGAAACTTCTTTTTCGCTCGAACATGACACTGTGTGCCCTTACTCCCTAAACAAAGCATTCCCTGGTGCGCTTCAAAACATTTTTCATGTAACAAAAGAAATACCTGAAATAACGGCGATTTTTATGGATCCATGTTCATCCCGCGCGATTCTCTCTGCTTCCTCCATTAACAGCATTCCAAAACCCTGAGAGTCGCAAAAAACACTGTTTAGTCACAAGCCTCAACCAACTGTTGTCAATCACGCACACCAGAACTTACTTGATGCTGGAATTTAAATGGATCGCGAGCACTGACAGGAACCACACTGCCGTAACTATGGCAACAAGGTCAAGGAATGGGCTAATAAGTTACTGTACGATCGCGCTATCTGATTGGTCAGAAAAAAAATCAACAAAGTTACAGTTCTAAATTTCTCGACCAATGAGAACGTAGACTTCTCTGCCTCTCAGACTCAGCTGGCTGTTGATTGGGCAAGAATGAATGAAAACCTAACATAACGACGTTTAAAAAATGACATTTATGACAACACTCATCTCCCATATAGTTGGAGCAAAGTATCGTACTAACTTAATGGTAGTAATGTCAAAGGATACACATGAAGTTCTCTGACAACTGAACAGCCTCCTTTAAGCTCAGGTCTGAAGGAAGCCTCTGAACACTTCCTTAATCTTAATAAACCCACGAGGATATTTACACAGAGTTAAGAAAAATGTTTGATTTTACTGTTAAATTATTGACGATTTCTCTCTTTTTTACATCCATACAGTAAGCAAGAGGGTAAAACTTAAAGTTCTACAGTAAACGTATTTTGATCTTAAGAAGTTGGCGGAAGGGAAGACGACGTTTAAAGTTAGCGCCAGGGACACACCAGTGAACATCGCCACACCTTGGAAAAATGGTCAGTGAATAATAAACGGTCAAACGAGACAGTCGATGAATTTCATTAGTGCTTAATTAGAAATGGAAAGTTAAGCTCTAGTGCATTAACGCCAGTAAGATGGAGGAGTGATTGTTATATACAGCAGCGTGTGAAAAAGATATCTTGCTCGGGATCTTCATAAGACAGAAACGTCTCCCATCCACCATTTGCGACATAATCACGACGAATGAGCTCAATCTGAAGAAGAAAGGATGTCAATGTTTACTGTTAACTAATCGTCTATTTAAAGCATTTTATACATGATAAGCCACGATTTAAGCTGGAGACCCTGACAAGCCCTCGGCAATTCTGGCCCAAACAGTGGACTGACTGTACATGACTCAGTCAGGATTTAAAGCGGAAGCGTTAAAAACACAACACAAGGATCAAGAAGCTTCAGAAAAGGAAGATAGTTAAACTAAGTGTGTACAAATCTTATAAGATGATTTCTATGGGACTGAGAGAAAGAAAATTTAGGTAAAGGAAATTTAGATAAAATTGTTTTGAAAAATGCTCTAAAAAGCAAAGACACAAAATATCCTCATTTGTGAGATGTATTAATTCTCATACATAGTATTTCTCTGTGGAATCAATTTTCATTCACAATTCTCAACTTGTAGTTCCAAAGTAAGGCGTGATTTACCGGCGAGAAATGTAGGCGTGACACAAGCGTAGCCTAGGAATGGGAGAGTGTTTACTTGCCTCAAAAGGTCGAACTTTATGATGAATCTCCTGTATTCCAACCTCGCGTGTGCGAACATCACGGCACTAAGAAAATCAAATCAATCACCAACACCGCAAATCAAAATCGAAACTCTCCTTAAATTATGTATACAGAGCAAAGCAGAAAGGTAGTTAATACAATAATTTTATGAACTAGTTATCTGGCCTTGATGTACTACAAGATTCTCAGAGCTCAGATTAAACGAAACGTGTGGCAATCGGAAAGGAGAACTGAAAGTTTGTGGCGTTGGAAAGGAAGTATTTCCAAAATGAAAGCAAATATGCTACACAAGTCACTTTCTTACCTGTGTTCCTAGGTCTTTCATACGTGCTAGAGCAAGTTCTCTTAAGTTACCGTGTTCCACGCCAGAACTAACCAAGGGCATGGGGATATCCCTAACATAAACAAACTAGGTTCACATCACGTTTGCGCCAAAAGAATCATCCGCCTATCACAAAAGGTGAAAACCCCGAGGAGACTCGCCTACAAAAAGGACCGGGGGTCTCGTCATACCTTTCAGGGGTTAAAAAAGGGGTTTTGGTAACTCTTACAGTATTCAGCCTCAAAAGATCCATAGCAGGAGCTTTTACGGTACTTTTTAGGGTATTGAGCTGAAAAAAAATTGAATCAGATAATGTGTTGTTTTGGAATTGGTATCTCTTAGGGGTGAAAAAAATTTCAAGCCACGCCCACAAAACAAGATGTTGGTACATCTTAGGGGTTCTTTTAAAATTTTTCGACAAGCACCCGTCCTTCTTACAGGGGAGTCACCCCTGGGGTTAAAACTATTTGCGTAACTCGCAAGAAGTTGCAAACCTCGCGTGACATAATGAGCCCTGAAAGTGGTGTGACTGAGCAACAACCAAGAACTCGCAAATATTATTTTTAGTACAATATTTCTGTTGGTGATCGTGTTGTGGGGGAAAATGCTGCTGTTGGCCAAGATGTTGTGTCAAAAATTGCGGAAGACCAGATTTTTGTATTTAAACCTACCTTTGAACTCTGTAAACTCGTGTCCAGGGTGGCACTAATGCGAGAATCCTGGCGATCAAGTCCACCAGTGTATTGGGAGGATAGCTCTTGTAGCGCCCAGTCTTCCACAGCTCATACAAACCTACCACACATCATAAAACATTGCAACTGTAACCACTTAATATTAATTTCAATTTTTTAGAGAGTTTTCGAGCACAAAATGGGATGAAACTGACATCACTTCTAACTACTTGGTTAAAGCAGATTATATTAGTCTTCTTCCTGGTCTTCTTCCCAGCTGTCGTATGGGATTATCACACAACTCTCCCTTCCCAGGAGCAAGCATTGCATGACGGCCCTAAATGATGGCTGTGAAGGAGATTAGATCAACTTGGGAAAGACATTCATATAAAGCCAAATTCTCCCAGCAAGAATCATAGAAAATGTACAAAAACAGTAATGAGAATATGAATGTCACTTACCTGTACCACGGATCACTAAAGTTGGGTAAATTTTCAACCCGTCTGCACGAAATGCAGGATTTTCAAAGAATTCCTATAATGATAAAAAAAGGAAATAATTAAGTACCACAGTGAATGGTGCAGTGATGCTACAAACACACAAGGATGCAACTTAATATTAGAGGAATAAAATCCAATTTACTAACAATGAACTGTTCAATGTCTCTTTCTAATCCCACATTTGGCAAATCTGGCATCATGTGTGATACAACCTGTGTAACAGGTAAAACAAGTTCATAGATTAACAAACTGGAATAACAATGAGTTGAAACAGAAATAAAATCCAAGGGCAAGTTGCTATGGTTGTCAATGTTGCCAACTGAAATTAATTCAGAAAAAAAAGTTCTAACAAGTGACCACAAGTGCCAAGCATGGACAAGGTTGTAGAAGAGAATCAAAAATGTATCCTTATAGTTTATGAACTGATGGAATGAACACACGAAGTCTCCAATTAGCGGCTGCACCTAACAAAATGTTTGTTAACCAGTTACAGAGTTAAGCAATTTAATGCAAACCAGGCAATCAAGTTTGCCTTCCCATAATGCGATTTAACCATATAACAATTTTAGAGCATGAGCCCTTGATTTCTATGAGGTGATGGGTAATGGGGCAGAAGGCCCTTTTAATTTTTACAGCAATACTTGGCAGTCTCCTCTCAAAATCATGATCTCTAGCTTATTGAAAATGCTGGACCTTAAAGCCTGCATCTTTAGACATGTGGAATGACTCACTCACTGCTCTGACAGTGTGGCCTCTGGAAACAAAAACAGAAAAATTCTGAATTAAGATGTCCGATGTGTTAGAAAAGAGTTCAGGTTCATCAGAACACAAAGCAACCAAACATTACACACATGAAACAAACAACAGCATCCTCTTACCATCAACAACATACTGTAATATTCTGATAGTAGAATCTTATTAAGTCCACTACAGCTAGAAGTGGTGAGTATTCCTGGTCATCACACACAGTATTTCAAGACTATTGATCTTCTTCTGATGACTAATTACAAAACCTGTTTTGTGTTTCACATTATCATGATTAGAGAAATTCTTATGAATTTACATTTTTAAGATCAATTTTTCCTTCTTACAGTAAATAAAATCTAAGTACAGTGCTGATGTGGCGGCTACAGGAATGTTATGTTATTATTTCTGAAGAATAAAAGCTATCTGTCTGTGGTTGTGTGTTCCTAATGTGTACCACTCACCTGTTAGTATCTCTTGCTACATCCTCATACACACTTTGTACACCAATCTCCAGACGAGTGCAGCCATACATCAGCATGGAACTAGAAAGACAGAAGAACAAGTTTAAACTCAATACCACTGGTCAAGCCATATGACACCTCAAAAAGACTATTGATTTAAACAAAGCCCATTGTTCATTTTTGTGCATGTCATATTCAAGACTAAATACCAAACTTGATTCAAGTATAACAGACCTTAAATGTTTTTTCAAGCAGTAGTCCGGTCGAGTTTCAATAGTGATTCCTATGCACTTTGTCTTGCTTCTCTCTGAATATCTGCAACATAACAATAAAATTATCATCGTCATCATCATTATCATCATCATCATCAACAACAACAACTGACAAAATTCTCAATCTTTATCCAATTTGACTAATGTCAGTCCATATTTCAACACACCAGTTGTCTAGTTCTGTCAAAACTTAGCAGGTACAAGAGAATAATAATAATAATAATAATAATAATAATAATAATAATAATAATGATAATGACTTCAGGCATCCATAAGAAACATAGCCCAAGGGGTAACCTTTTGCTTATTGAGGACATCTAGATTTTCCTCAAAATTATATCAATGCAAAGTTAAGTGTGGTAATTGTCAAAGTAATAAAAGACTGATTGCAAAGGAAACACTGCAAAGTGATGTTGTCTTATTTATTTTTCCTTGTTTTTGTTTTAGAACTGTCTAGCGCAATAGTCCTGCAAGCTCAAGCCTTGTACTTTTTCCACCTCTCCACATTTTCTGTCCTGACAATCTCATGACAGAGAGTGAGTTAATGTCTTACTTGACAGCTTCAGTCACATTGTTACTTGTGTGACCTGAGAGTGCATCATGAAGATTCCTGATGAAGAAATCCCTGTAGCTTTCATCCAGACACATAAATGTGCCTCCCATTACAATGAACTCAACCTAAAAAGATTAAACAGTCACATGATTGGCAAATTGACATTATGAAGTGAAATATGTCTAGTATGACTGTATTATTATTTGGCTTGTGTTTGTAGCTGATCTAACACGTGCTCTGATTGGCTGACTGTTGTTACATTATTCTCCTGTAATGCCCATGGGTGGAAGACGGGCCTGCAAAGACAGAGCAAAAAGCCACATAATAAATGACTTATTAGCCTTGAACGTTCAGTCTTTACAGGAAAATCTTAAACCTCAACCTCGCTGTATTGACCTCACTATCATGACACTAGTCACAATTAGAAAATGAATTGCTTTCTCCTCACCTTATCCACATTGTGACCCAGTTGTTTAAGCTACAAAAATAATAGGAAAACCTTTAGTTATAGTTACTGATGAAGTACAGCTTAATCTTTTGAAGAACATCAAAACAAGGCTTGGAAATTATTACCTACTTCCATTGCTACAAACTTTCTCTAGACTAGACCTTACTAGTTATGCTTATTGTGGTACCAATATTTTACAATTAATGGAACATAACAACAGGCCAAAATTATCCACAATAACTAAGTTACATTCAACACCAAAAGAAATTTCATGCAAGTGTTGAAAAGTGCATAATTTGTGCAGTTACACAGGGTAGCTGGAGAAAAATCACCATCTACTTTGTAATCTCTGGCATTTACTCTACTGAGCCATTTGTCTGATTCTTTTAAATCAGACAATCAAAATATAATATGTAAGAAAACATAACAAAATCAGAGAGCAGTTGTCTGCTCATGATCCAATTAGTTGTAAACTACTGCATCTTAAAAACAATTAGGTTCATGCCACAAAGCAGTTGTAATTACATACATATAACTGATGTAAAGTTGTATTCACCTGATCAATTCTATGTCTTGTTTGCAAATAAGGATTGTACCTTGCTCGGATTGCTCTCATTGATGTGGGCTGAAACAGTTCAATCAAACAATATTGCTATAAGAGCAGTGTTACAAGTATGAAGAAAGACATTTTAAGATATTTCCAACATTTCTCTTTGAAAAAGCCTTTTTGCAATTTATTTCAGACTAATGATTTTAATTTTTAGGTTATTTTTTTTTAGATTTTCACTGATAATTATTGTAAAGCGCCTTTGAACATTGCGATACTGGCGCTATGGAAATCTTTTATTATTTATTATTTATTATTGTTATTGAAGAAAACCTCATATTAAAGGTACATGCACACTAAAGCAACAAATTACCTTCTCCTTGAGGATAATAAAATTTGTGCTAGATACCAAAACCAACAGCCATGTTAAGTATGGTAAAATCTATTATTACTCTCTAGCTTATAAATTATGCCAGGATGTGGATTATACATGTTACTTGTAATCTATCAAAGATAATAAGCTGTAAGCCTCACAATGTTTTTCAAAAAATTTCACTGATTCGAATAGAATTTTCAGCTTGAAAAAGGGTTCAGCTTTTGGCCAAGATCTTCCAAAACTTAAACCTTAAACCCTTTCTATCAAACTTTGTCTCAAAAAAATAGAGTACATCTTTAAATCCACAACTAACATCTTTTTAGATTCTCCAAATCAAAGTCAATTTTATTCAACTTACATAAATATGTTAAAGGAGTATTGAGATGATTTTTAAATCATTCAGAGAAATATATAATATTATAGCGTTTATGACAAAAATCACAATTAATTAGATATTATTTAGATATCATTTTGAGGATTTCTCAGGTTAGGTATCTAACATAACATCCTGACTGTTTAACCTTAGTACTGATATAAGGGATCTTACTTCATATCCAGTGTAGGACTGTGTAGAGTACTCAAAATCAGAGTCTGGGCCTCCTGGGCAATACCTAATAAACACAGAACATTTAGCCTTGTTGAACATCAATTGTTTTTCGTGTTAAAAAAATTCTAGATGGGATTTGAACCAACGACCCTCAGTGATCTAGCTGGACGCTCTAATCACTGAGCTAGTGGAGACTCTATGGTGAGCAAGGGTGAAATGTGGGCCTTTGACTGGAACTGCATTTCTACATTCAGTATGTGCTAAGTTAACATTTAGCTGCGTGACCGAGGGATACATGGTCTGGCTAGATCATGGAGGGTCATGGGTTCAAAACCCATCTGGAACTCGGAATTTTTTTTCCAAGTCAATGTGATTTCTACATTCAGTATCCCTTATAATACTCACTTAAAAAGTACTTTGATAAAATAAAAAATGATGTTTTTGACTTTGCTAAGACTGACAAAGAACCTCTGAAGTTCTCCTAACAACTTTGATCCTTTTCCATGTTGATTACAACTAAGATAGAAAGTATTATAAGAAGCCAAGAAACTTACACACAAATATTGCCAGTCATGTTAATATGTGGACATCTGTGAGGTTTACACATAACAGCAACAACAGCAATCTATGATAACAACAATATAAACCAGTCAGTTTTCACCAATATCAACAGAAGAAAATGATTCTTTAACAAACATGTTGTTGCCCAAGGAGAGCAGTTTGTTTACTATTAGCCAGAATAACATGGTGAAGTATAACTGACAGGGACTGCATCATAGTCATAAAAAACAGTCCAGCTCAGTAAGGGTCCTTGACATATTTGCGTATTTCATTTAAAAGTTGTGATAATGTGAAAAGCGAACTAATTAACATGACACAAGTGGGGGACAAAGAAAAAATCTGAGTCCCTGACAGGAATCGAACCCATGACCTCCAGAACACTGGCAGGTGCTCTATCCACTGAGATACGAGAACTCATGGAGAGCAAGGTCGTTTAATCCTAGCAGTATGCAGGATGCCTGTCACATATGAACTCAGTCAAGTGACCTTGCTCTCCATGAGTTCTCATAGGTCAGTGGATAGAGTGCCCACCTGGTGTTCGGGTTTGATTCCTGTCAGGGACTCAGATTTTTTTCTTTGTCCCACGCTCATGTCATGTTGAGATAATATTATTGTTCCCAAGTAAAACCTGTTACCCCCAGTACCTCCAGCCTTATAATTTTACATATTCACATATAGACATTGAAATTCTTACTCCAGAAGCTGTTCTCACTGGCTTGGCTTTTAACTTTGGCAGTAATACCTGACAAGATAAAAAGGAGATACCGCATGATACAAAGAAATCTAATGTAACACAGCAAAGAGACAACTTTTCAGACAAATCAAGAACTAACCTTCTTATAAGCAGGAGGTACAGCAGCTATGATATCAACCAGTCTTGGTTGTGATGTCAGTCCATACTTACTGGCTGCTTGTCCTTTTATTCTTAATAGGTCAGAAGAGAAGCAAAATAAATACTGACTGCAGCATATCCCACCTGGCATAATCAAATCCTAGAGGGTTAGGGCAAGGGTGAGCAACCTAATCGATAAATGGAAACTATTTTGTATGTTTCAATATAGTTTTGGGTAAATGCGTGGATGTTTACTAACATCAAGATTCGAGTTCTCCATGATTCAAAAATTTTGAGACCAAAAGTAATATGGTGAGACTTCTGCAAAACTGAACATTGCTAATGTTGGTTTAGTTCTCATTCCACAAGTATGACAAGATTAAAAAAACTTATAAATATAACATAGCTTGCACTGATGCTCAATGTCACCCAACTTCAAGATGACACACATGCGTTCATGCACAAATTATGCACACACATGCAGATATGAATGATATTTACTTGTTGAGATTGAGATCACTTCCTTTCTCGTGTGCCGTAATCAGTTGACTCACTATGTCTGATACTGTCATCATCATCAGTTCAGCTCTTGAAGCACTGGGGTTCACTAAAAACAATCACGAGAAAGATAAGTTAGCCTGCATAGCAAGCATTTCCATGGAGTTCAGGAGCAAAGAATTACCACGCGAAAAATGGAGCAAGTAAAACCCCCTCCTTCTTTTTTAGGCTCTCGCCCCATTGTTTGCGTAGGCAAAACACTGAAAATCCAGTTCCTCTGTCTTTCTTTGCTCCCAACCCCACGGAAATGCTTGCTACTCAGGCTAAAGATAAGTAGGAAGGTAAGTGGCTCATTTTGCAAGTAACCAATCATGTTAAAACAGATGCATCAATGAGAGCTAATGCTGTGCTTATAACGAATGGAATATGCTAGGGTTTGACAAATAATAATTATTGTACGTGTATCAGAAGTTAACCATTAGACCATTCCATTCTATATAGTCCACTGCGGTGTTTGAACTTTGATATCCTTTTTTGTCTCATGCCCATGTGACCCTAGTCATGTGGACACAAGGTTGTTTTTTCTAAGAAGAGTGCTTACTATGCAATTTGACATTTATGTTTCAAGGGGAAATACAACTTGTACATAAACTTGTCAGGTGTAGCACACTCTGGAATAGAATAAATATGTTTAAGAAAATTTTGGCTACAACAACAGCATCATTGCCTGGCCACATAATGAACAGAATGCAAGAGAGCAGCATCGCCATCCCCAATGAACAAATGACTGGTAAAACCCAGGGGAAAGGCAACTTGAAACCTTTTGCTATTTCAGACAAAAATTTGTGATTTTCTATACCTTATTTCAAGCCTGAGCCAAAACTTAATACCCTATTTGTAACAACTTACTAACCTTGAACACTCAGTCTTCATGGGAAAAATTATCTCAAACGGAGACCTTGCCATATTGACCTCACTATTGCTTGGCCAATACTGCAAGGTCTTGGTTTGAGATTTTCCTGTAAAGATTGAGCGTTCAAGGTTAAGAAGTTATCTATTATATGGCCTTTTTGCTTTGTCTTTGCAGGCCTGAAGTTGGCCCTTGGGCATAATTTGCGTGAGAATAATGCCCTAGAATTAGCCTATCAGAGTGTGAGTTATGTCGGCTAGAAACACAAGCCCTACAATAAAGACCTGTATAACATAGATAAGACCCTGTGCGTGCACTGATTGGTCGAAAACCTGTGTTTTATCACAGTATAAAATATAAGAAAAGTGTGTTTTATTGTTTTCGCCACATTACCTCTAAATCATAAAGCAAACGAAGGAGCCTAAGCCATGTATTACTAACTACTTAATAACCGAGAGTGAGGTCGTTACGGGAAAATCTCAAACTGAGGCCTTGC